TTAATTGTGGCCCCCGGCCTCATGTACGTTGGAAACCCCTGTTTTATATAAAGTAGAACTAGTATATTATCCAGTTAGTTAGGATATCAATGAAAAGTAACTCCTATTTTACTGAATATTCTTCGCATTAAGTATACGTATTTTAAAAGTAACGCCTACTTCTTACTCACAGCTAGACCAGTGTATGGTAGTCATAATCGTATGAAAAACGACCCATGTAAATAAAAATTCATTTTCCTGAAATGTAACAAAATCTGCAAGGTGAAGACCGAGATCATATGAAATTTTTTTTAGATATTTTGAAACTTTCGGTAAAAAAATCTCTAAAATTTATAGAAGCTCCGGCAATCATAGATTTATTTATTTCTTCATTTGGTGAGATCCTGAGTTAAATATGAACGACTCGAGTAAATCAAGTTTGAATAAACGCATAGAAATTAAATTTTAAAAAAAATAAATGTAACGAAAGTTCAGCATGAAAATTAAAAAACGTAATAACTTTTGATCTAATCGTAGCATTTTTCAAGCACACAGATGCGTCAAGGGGTTTTTCGTAAATATGCTTTTTTTTTCCCTTTTTTTGCAGGCTACATGTTTAACCCCTTGGGAACGGGTGATTCAGAAAAGGACAAAATCAGGATCAGGACGTAATTAAATAAAAAAACGGTAACTTAAATGTAGTCGTTGCTAATTTGACAGACTTACTTTGCTTTTACTTTAATTATTGTTAGTTTAAACATATATATAATCAATGCTAATTCAAAGTCTAACTAAATATAGTTTTATTTTGAACAAAGTAATAGTGAATTAAATAAATCAAACAATTATAACTCAGCCTTCAAATAAACTGCTAAAGAATTACTTTGATTACCAGTTTTATCTTTTTACCCTGGTTGATACGGTTTTATGCTGGCACGTGTTTGTGACAATCGGCGCAAAAGGGTTAAAGCTGTTTTTCGTAACTCTGTGGCCAAGGAAAATAAAAAAAAAAGCCATAATTTAAGTGCCTTACACTTGAAACAATGCGATGATTTTAAACCATATATATATTTAATCTTGCCGCGAATAATTAATTTGGCTTTAGAACAGAAAAATAAATATTTTAAAAGCTATTAAACTTTTTTAAAAATCACCAATTTGAGGCATTATTTCACTTAGACGAAAATTATCAAATTGACTGCCGTATTCTCACTTTTTGCAAATTTTTATGAGCCCAAGTAATTCAGCATTGGAATAAGTTTTTAAATATTAAAAAATTAGACCACAAACGCTTTTCATTTTCACTAAACTGGGTTTTTTCAATATTGACGTTTTGAGCCATTTTCAAAATAAGCGTAGACAGCGCTGGATTTAGCTAGGCTAAACTTGACCTAACAGTCAAGTGTAACAGTTGTAAACTCACAACAGTTATAAAAATAGCATATTATTCGCAAAAAAGCTATTTTTAAATTACGACGGAGTCTCCGAAAAACAGCCTTAAAGGGAATGTTTGAAAGGGTTACGAAATTGGGAGCAAAAGCGTTCTTTCTCTTTTTCTTCGTCTAGTTTAGTTTAGAGGACGATCGAAAGTTCGGACCCTTTAAGGACAATTTTACGTTTTGAGTTTTTCATCCTTAAAAATAGTTTTTTTTTTAAAAAAGCAACAACAAAAAATGAAATAAAATAAATAAAAACAAAAAAGTTTCTATTTTTATGATTTTGCGATATGGCAAAATATGCAAAAAGTAAAATTAACTTTCAGGGATCTAAACTTCGGACCTGACCACACACTATTAGAACCATATTTCCCAGTCTGCGGCTGCCCCCTTGTGTTTTGAGAGGTCAGAAATCCAAATCCTAATCGAAAAAAAAAGCTGGCTTACTCAGAGAAATTATGTTTTTGTGTCTGATTCAGTAACTTAAAATAATTTTTATTCAACTATTAGGTATAGAAAATATCTTCTAAAACTTAAATCTTTGAAAGTAATTATCTCAATTATATCAAAATCGTTAAATCTGTCGAGTCGCTAAGTCCTCCATGTCCCCATAACAAATCAATACCTCTGGGGGTACTGGATTGGAGATCGATGATTCTCTGATTCAGGTCAAAATTACGATCTGTGGATGAATGAATGGTTGTATGAACGAGTCCGCCCTATAAAACGGGCGTGGCAGAAGTCGAATTCTTGTCCATAGATGGCGCCACTGGAAAACAAGAACAATCGCGCCCCTCTGCCTAAACAGGCATACGCAACAACAACCAATATTTTAATATTAATAGGGGGGATCTGCTGAACTCTGCCTTACATGTATATGAAACTGTTATTTTATTTTCGATCTAAACTGTCGCGCATTTATTTAAGCGAAACTGTCTTAAGAGAAGTTTTCAAAACGGAAATGGTATAATTCTAAATGCTTACTTACTTTATTTACAAAAATTGGGCACCTGGGCCACTTAGCGGCCCCTATCCCATACATCTAGAAATTTACAGAAAATTAATAGTAATAGCATTTTGAATTTAGCAGTCGATGTGGTAGCTAATAGAAAAACAAGCACTTTGCTTGAGTAAATATAACATTTGAATATCTGATTCATCGAATCTAAGTTGATATATATAAATATAAACATAATTTGACATATATATAAGTTGACATAAATAAATATTAACATAAATTGATACATATTTCCCTAATTAAATTTCTATATTTTAACCTGCACTTATTTAATTATGACATACATTAAAGTTCATTCGAATACATTGTGGTAGCTATAAAAAAAAATCAAGCCGTTTGCTTGTGAAATAATAAAACAAAAATTTAATACAACAAATTGACGTTTTTACCTAATACTAGAAATCTTGATTGTAGACTTAAATTAAAAATAAAGATAAAACATGATTTGATATGTACAGTAATTGATTTTTGAAAAATGAAAGGCATAATTGATGATAATTCTAAATGCTGAAGCATTTCAGTAATAAAATTCTTATATTTTCAATAAAGTGGTACATAGTTATTATCCCGTTAGTTTCGTAATATCAATGAAAAGTAACGCCTAATTTACTGAAGATTCTTTGAATTAAGTTTACATATTTTAAAAATAACAACTACTTGGAGTAAGAAGTACTCAAAGTGAAACTATTATATGTAAAACGGTGGCTGTGAAAAGTCACGGATGTGAGCAACATTACCCACGTCACACTGCCTCATACACCAGTTCATAAGGTGGGCAACATTCACACAGCAAAGGACAACACACAAAAAAACAACCATGCCGTGAGAGGGATTCCAACCCGCAGCCATCGGCATCGAAGTCAGGCACGCTAACCCCTCAGCCACCTGCCCGGCCATATTTATAAGGAAAAAACTGTGACAATATGACGAAAATTTTTTTTAATTTTTTTTAAAACTTTCGGCAGAAAAGAAATCTTGGAAATTTATCGAAGCTTCTACAATTATGGATTTAACTATTTCTAGATTTAGTGAGAATTTGAGTTGAATATAAAAAGCTTGAGTGAATCATGTTTTTAATAAATGTATAGAAATTAAATAAGAACAAATACACCCAAATATACAGCACGCAAATTAAAAAAACGGAAAACTTCTAATGATTCAAGTACATGGTTGACAAACTTGAGGCTTCAAAAGGTTTTTCTTAAAAATGCTTATTATTTTGTTGAGGAGATGTTAAAAAGTTACGAAATTAGGCACAAAAGCGTCTTAGCCATTTCCTTTGTGGATTCGGATTAACTCTCAAAATATGGCGGCACCGACCACAGTGCTAACGTGAAATAGCCTCAGTAGTAAACGGATCATGGATTAGAGTCCCCTTGCCGTCAGGCTAACCGAGTGAGGTTCTCGTGGTCTTCCGCGCCATTCAACGCAAATGCGAAGCATATCGTCACCCCAAAATAAGAATCAAGAAAAAGTCTAAAGTTAAAAATCTTACAAAAAACGCGATTAATCGTAAATATTGTGGGATAACAAAATAGTTCAGTTTTTGCCATAATATATTAATGATAAAAATATTTATATTTGGATCGAAAATTTAAGATGCCTCTCACCACCTTTCAAATTAATCTGAAATATTCTCTGAAAGAAACATCCTGGGCACTATTCTTTATATTTAATTCACATTGCTTGCTGACGGAAATGATTACAATTGTATAACAGCATTAAGCAGATAATACCGGAATAATAGTTAAATACAAAGAACTTAACTTAGCCTCGCAGAAAATGCATTCTTTTAAAACAATATTAGCCTTAACTTTTAAATATATGTATTTTTTTTTTGTTTTGTTTTTGGTGCATTTTAAAAATATTTAGAAAATTAGGGGATTTTAGTGTTTTATAGGTAAGCATTAATCATATCTCCTTCCACTTTCCAAAAAAAAAAATAATAATAATAATAATAAATAAAAATAAGTAAATCACAAACCTCCTTTCAGTAGCAAACGTAATATTTGAAGACTTCATGGAATAAAATTTTAGGGGAGAAATATCAAATTCTTATTTCTAAGTACAAAACTCGAAAAAGATTTTTAAACAAATCACAAATATTATAATGATGCAAGCGATTAAGTTTCCGTATTGCAGTTTGGTTAGAGAAATTTTAAAGGCAAGCTAAGTTTAGCGAAGGTTCAGAATTCGAAAACGAAATAAAACCGAGCGAAATGAAATCGCGTACGAATATATACATTTTATTCTCTTCAAGTTGTTGCTGCTGTTACGACTTCTTTAAGTTTCCACAGACGAGAGAGAAAAAACTTAAAAAATATGTCGAAAATGCTCAGGAATGTTCGATTTTAAGAAGGAAATTCGAAAACAAAGGCGAAAATTTGGAACTTTTCAAAATAGTCTTAACAAAAGAAAAGATTAAAAAGACCTCGCAAAACATTCACTCGATTTTGCTTTCGTTTTCGATTCCGGCAAACGATCGTTTGGATTTCAAAAATGAAATGAAAAGGAACTTCATGAAATCGCGGATGAATACTAAAATCCTGTACCGTTAAAGTTGCTTCTATTACAGTGTTCCTATTGGTGATTTACAGTTTCTGGAGTCGAGAGTATTCGAACTTGTTTATACTTATGGATACTTATACTCCTGAAGAATGTTATTTTCTCGCGGCGTATGCTAAAGGAAATACTTTTTTTAAACATCACATTTGCGTTTTAAATCATATTTATCGTTCGTTATTAATGTATAACGATTTAATTTGCTTGCATCATATACTCGACATCTCGAAGGAAACGAAACTGGATTTCTGGTCATTGTTTTCAAGAAAGCTTCCGCACAATCAAATAGATTTTTCCCATGCTTCATTATTGGGAAATCCGAAGATTTTCGTGAGTATTACAATATGTGGCGCGATAAATAAATACCATCATGGTTTGTTTATGGAATGCGTTGAGATAAAACCATACATTTTCCTGAAGTAAGTTAAATTTCAATTGTGTGCCGATTTTTATATGTTACCGATTAAGTTCGAAAACAGTTAATGTGCACTTTACCTAGCTAACATACAGCATAATGTGTAGCGTTTTTAAAAAGTTCTTACTTTCGATTTTTAAAAGCCCTTAAAGGTGCTCTTTTTAATTGGGTGTTTTTAAGAAGTGCTTAATTTTCCCTTTTCGAAAATGAGATTTTTTTCTTTACTATGTCGAGTTTCGCCACATATTATGCAAAATCGTGCTTTACCCATTGTTCTATTCAACGTTTTCACCATGCCAGTGCTGGATTACTCATTAGGCCCCCTTAAAATGGATTTTTTTGAAAATAAATCAAAAAATTGAGAAAAGCAATGATTTTTAAAAAAGAAATCAATTTCAAATGTATATTAATAAAATACGATAATTTTTTACATAATGTTAATCATATTTATTTATTACTTATTTTAGTTATTATTTATAAGTATTATTATAGATTATGTATTATAAGATTTATCAATGTTTTTTAAGATCAAATTTGTCACTTTGATTTGCGCGCGAAAAAAATGGAAGGCAGTACTATAGCGAACTGAGACTTGTTTAAACAAGAAGCAAAGAATTAATGTTGTTGACATTATTGAGACGTTTTAAATGAAAACGATATTTAGTGCCTCAACTGACATGCTAAGTTTCATGTTTATCGAATCAGATGTTCTCCGTGAAATTAATTATGATAACATTATAGATGAGTTTATTGATCGCTAGAGCAGAAAAAACAATTTTTGAATACCAATTATATAGTAGCGTTAATTTTGTAAAGTGTTAATAAATTTTAATTTTTTTTTTAAATGTTATGATTATTTTTTAGTTCTAATTTAACCAAAAAAAAGTAACATTTAATTTATTAATATTTATTTTTATTTTAAATATGCTTTCTTTAATGAAAAAATATGCTTTCTCAAATATAAAAGTATATAGATACTTTTATATTTGAATAAATAAAAAATATATGAAGAAAGAAATTTAATCTGAGGGCCCCAAAAATTTGAATGGCCTAGGGCCCCGCGTACACTTGATCCTTTTCGGCGTACAGTCGGTCTGAAAGCGCCAATCATTTTACATGTTTGATGAAATACTTGCGTATATTGAGCTGTATTCGGTGAGATTCTTGTACTCTGGCTTCATTTTTCCCCATCTGAAATCAAACCGAAAAATCTCTCCATCTTTTTATGGTGGCCAATTTAATAAAAAAAGAAAGAGTTCTTTGTTAGAAATTAATTATATTATCATGACCATGTAAAGTCTTTGAAAAAAAAAATTTTTTTTTTTGATGTATATAGTGCTTAAAAAAAAAATTTTTTTTTTGGTGCTTAAAAAGCAGGGTTGGCAAGTTTTTGACACATGACGGTTTTTACCGGTTTATACTATGGTTTTTACCGTCATGTCAAAAATCCATAGTTTGAGTAAAACTGTATTTTTATTTGAGTTTAACTTCGTATCATTTAAAATTAATTTATTTTTGGGCAATAAAATTAGAAAAAAAGTAATTAAAAGATATTTAAGAACAGGTTCTTGCATTTTCCCAACGTGATTATATCAAAACATACTATTTGAAGTAAAATATTAGGATACTAAACAAAATTTTCAACTTTTCCAAGCATCATTTTGTTTGTCATATTACATTACTGAAGAATGTCAAGTCATTCTTGACTTAGAGTTTGTTAGTAGTTACAAGTTTTGAAAGTTTTGTTTAGCTTATTTCTAATATTTAAGAAATGCCAAATTTTAAATTCTTCTTTTTAGTTCTTGAATTTATTAATAGTTCCAAGCTTTTTTGTTTGTTTGTTTATTTCTAACAATTAAGAAATGCAAATTTTTGAATCCTTTGCAAATCAAGCTATAATGATAAAAGCAAGTATCACTATTTTCAATAAGTATATTACAATATTTCTGCATGAGTGTATATCCTTCTCTAAGAATGCATGTATATAGTTGCAAAATCAATAGCAATCATTTACAACATTCATTTATAAAGGCAATTATGTGAAAATAATATATTGTCCGCTATATGCCATAAGTTAAAGAAAACAGTAGGTTTTTGACAGTTTTTACCGGTAAAAACACGGTTTTTACCACTGTCATGTCAAAAACCAGTTTTTGANAATTAAAAAAATTAAATTTTCAAAAATAAACAACAATTGCTGCTTCTAAATTAGAAATGCAACATACAAATATTTGGTATTTAGCCTATACTGCTGAACGCAGACAGAATATTCATTTTGGACGAATAATGGAAGAATCGTCTGCCGAAGCCAAAACTTAATTCGTTTACATCCATCTTTCTTGTTTTCTGCCCTGGAAAGGGTTTATTCGATTAACAAAATAATAATGAAGATAAACAAACTTGTGAAAGGTCCGATTAAAAGAAAAATCATTTTGTGAAGGGTCCGTTTTTAAGTTAAAATATTTTGTGAAGGGTCCGTTTTTAAGTTGAAATATTTTGTGAAGGGTCCGTTAACGGACCCAAATTTATTCTAAACAGACCCCTGACTAGGGTAATAAAGTGCGGAAACGAAGGTTTTCCCCAACTAACGTAATGTGCATCTTATTTATTTTCCACTTCGTAAAAATACCCATGTTACCGCTGAAGTGCAATAATCGGTTATTTTACTGATTACCTTGCACATTAACAAAGGTGTTCCGTCTATGTGCTGTTTCATTTTTCTAATTACCTAGATAATCTTGAAATCACAGATAATTACTTGTAATCAGGATTACAGTTGTAATCAAAATTATGATTGTTTGTAATCATGATTACTGTAATTGAGTGTTGTAATCATAATTACAGTTATAATCAAAATTTGTAATCATGATTACAAGTAATTGATTACTGTAAGTGAAAAATGTAAGCAATTGCATTTTTGCTCTACTTTGTTGTAATCAAAAGTTATGATAATATGTAATCGTGATTACAAGTTATTAATTACATAGCAGTAATTATCTGTAATCAATTACAGTTGTAATCGACGTCCAACTCTGCTGTTCACTGTTTCAAGAGAAACAGTGAACAGCAATGAAAAAATTATTCAATTTGCAATGCAAAAATTATTCAATAATCACAAGAACCAATCTCTTCCCATTTAAGATTGATAATAATTCTGCTAAAAAGTGAATTCAAACTTTTAAAGCTTTTTTTTAAAATATTGTAGCTTATGTAATTTTCGATCTAAAGCAACTTTTCAAGGAAGTTTCATTATTTCTTGTAAAGCCCCATACACAGAAAGAAAAAAAAACGTAGCACTGCTATGACGCCGAAATAAATAAAATAAAAAATCTATTGCAGAACAAAAATTTTAATAATAATCAGTAATAATAATAATGATTGTATAAGTCAAAAAAATATTTATTAGTGCAGCATTTCATAATTGGTTCAATTGAAATATTTTTTGTAATGTTAAAGCTAAATAAAAATAATTTTAACTTACGAGAGAGTTTTAGATTTTACGACATCATTGTAAAACAATTAAAATAAATTAAACTGTAAAATTGGTGTATTTAGTCGCCAAAAGTGCTTAACTTCTATTTTCGGAAACATGCAGTTTTGAGGTATTTAGCAGTTTGTTACTCTAGGTTTGCTCGAACTCACTGGGAAGAGGGAAAACAGAATTTGCAATGAAAAGTTTCTCCCGTGGTATGGTGTCCTCTTGATGTATATCGCTACTTACATAAAAATCAAGTTCGGTTCCCAATCTGGGGGCGATATGTCTCCTCAGCGGGGCGAAAGTATGCCAACTTCAGCAGGCCTACCGTGGGAGGTTTTCCTCTCCATGCAACGCAAGTGCGGGTTATTTCCATGAAGGCAAATTTCTCCCAATACTTAATCCAGGAGTTCCCTTGTCCTCTGCACTGGGTTCAAAAATATGGAGTTGAACAGTAGTCGTAAACCCAAAAATAGGATCCGCTGCAGCGAAGGTTATAAAATAAAATAAAAATATATTTTGTAGATAGATTTAGTTCGGTGGTTCAGTTTCTCACAAAGGAGAAGGTTGGACATTGCCTTCAAAAGAGCTTAAACTTGACGAACAGAAAACCTGGTTGGTATTCAAGCTTTAAATCCGCCAACACACAAGGCAGTCATGGAAGAGGTAAAAATGAACAATTCGAGTTTTCAGTTGTTACACTGTCAATTTTTTTCATTGCATTAAACAAAATTTATTTTTGTTTCGATTCTTTCGCTTCAATCATATATCACCAACATTGAAAAAAAAAATTAAAGGATAAACAAAAAAAAAATTTTCATTTCTAAAATGGCTGGATAAAATTGCTTCATAATATACATTTTAATTGAAATCAAAATCCGGTATAATTTAGCCTACATTCATTTTTAACAATGTATGGGGTTTTTTTTTAATCAAAAAGAAAAAAGGGGTGGTAAATTTTTTTATGACCGTCGTCGAACAGCCGACCCAATTTTTTGGGTTTACGACTACTCATATTCAACTACGTAACCTAGTAATTTTGAACTCAATCCAGAAGACAAGGGAACTCCTGGATCAAGTATTTTGAAAAATTTGCCTTCGTGGAGGGCTTTTTGGTGGAGCTCACCTGCATTTGCGTTGCATGGAAAGGAAGACCTCGAGGACCTCCCACGGTTAGCCTGACGGCAAAGGGATTCTAACCCATGATCCGTCTATCACTGAGGATATTTCACGTCAGCACTGTGGTCGGTACAAGCTGGATGCGAATTTCGTATCGACCAGCCATTACTGGGATTCGAACCCGGTTCACCTCATTGAAAAGCGAACACTCTACATACCTGCCAACTTTTTAAAGTGGTAGTAAATATATACAATTTTTTCTTTTATGAAATTAATTTTAAAATGAATTTGATCACCACTATTCTTAAGAAAATTAAGCATATATATCAATATGTATTACTATCATGGTTGTCAGCCAAAGCTTTTTCAAATGCAGCGTGTTTTTTTGCTTACAATTGAAATTTTTAATTCCATTTTACTTCCACTGGAAAAAATTATAATGGAAGGGATTAAAAGTTGACAGGTATGGCTCTATCCCCTGAGCCATCGCTGCTTAAGGGGCGATACATTTTATCTTATTTTTTAACTGTCGTTGAACAGCAGACCGAATTTTGAATTTACGACTACTAATTTTGAACCAATCCAGACGACAAGGAAACTCCTAGATCAGTACCCCCAGAGGTATTGATTTGTTATGGGAACATGAAGGGCTTAGCGATTCGACAGATTTAACGTGCATCAGTCACCATTTACTACACGGGGAGTCTTTGACCGGCGGGGATCGAACCCACAAACTCTTGGACATGGGCCCAGTGCCCTACCAACCAGGCTATCCCGGCCTAAGGGGCGATACATGTCAAGAGAGGGCGGTGGGCAACAAACGATTGGGAGCGATATCTACTGAAGTTTTCCTGTTTATTTTTTATATCTCTGCTATTTTCACAACAATTCTATTATTTCAGACGGGAAGATTCTATTTTCTATCGGAAGATGTCCAGCTGTTTATCGGAGAAGAAAGTGTCCCGCTGCCCCGTCAACTTTAGATGCAGCCAAATCATTTCGATCTTCGGCAGACGACAGTGCCTCTATCCTCTAATCATTGAACTCAGTCTGGCCGATTTTGATGTGGCTCTGCAAGTTCTCTGGAGGTCCATACCTGATCCCCTTCTCACGAAAGAGGAATTTTTTCGAATCTTCTCCGGTTTGGATTTCATGGATTCCAATGATGTACAGGAAGCGAACAGAATATGGGGGTGGTACACTCACTTATTAGTGGGAGGCATCGAAATTGCGACGAAATGTCCCAGATCTCTGTGTCACCTTTCCAGGTGTGCCATTAGAGGAAGATTGAAAGAATGCTTTGCGTTGCCCTACGGTGTGCATCTGCTGGACATTCCTAAACAATTAAAACAGTATTTGCTTTTAAATGACGAATGTCAATTCTCAATGTGATCATAACTATGCAGGGTGTTCTGTAGTAACTGCCCTTCCTATAATTTCTAAAAACGCGGATCTCTGTGTCACTTTTACAGTTGTGCCATTAGAGGAATGCTTTGCTTTGCTTGAGCATCTGCTGGACATTCCTAAACAATTAAAACAGTATTTCCTTTTAAATGACGAATGTCAATTCTCAATGTGATCATAACTATGCAGGGTGTTCTGTAATAACTGCCCTTCCAGTAATTTTTAGCATCTTAGATCTCTGTCTCACCTTTGTATTTATGCCATTAGAGGAAGATTGAAAGAATGTTTAGCTTTGCCCTACGGTGTGCATCTGCTGGACATTACTGGGTGTTCTGTAGTAACTGCCCTTCCTATAATTTTTAAAATTCCAGATCTCTATGTCACTTTTCCAGTTGTGCCATTAGAGGAAGATTTCAAAGAATGCGATGCCCAACGGTGTGCAGCTGCTGGACATTCCTGAACATTTAAAACAGTATTTGCTTTTAAATTACAATAAAAATATCTCAATGTGATCATAACATACATATCAATGAAGTTCAGAGCTTTGAGGGACCAATAATAAATTACAAACTGTAAATAATATTTTTGAACACCTTATGCCAAAGAATGTAGCTAAAGATTTGTAATTTGTGAAAGTTATTTAGGTTATTATGTGCAATAACTGCACAAAATTTCGTAATTCTAACTTTAATTTTTATGGATATTTTTATTTTAAAAAAAAAAACTAGTTTTCTTGTCTCACGTTTTTTTTTCTTTTTTGGTATAACATTAAAAAAAATTAAAACTTTCAGAGAAATTTAAAATTAATTACAAATATTTCGCTTTAAAACTAGAAGAAAAAAATATTGATAACTGCAATATATAAGTAATTAAAGTAGTTCTTCTATGCTGCACATGCGCGGAATATAAAAAATTTTTATATCATAATTTTGCTGTGAATCGTATTTGGCAATTAAGGAAAAAAGTCCGATTTGAATATCTTATAAAGTTTTAACGAATTTTTCAAGCAGTTTTTGTGCTTGTTAACGAAAGCTCAAATGATAAGGGGTTTTCTACAAATATTTTTTGTATCATAAAACAAAAGTTTAATAACAAATGATACCTTACAATAAAATTCATACACCAAAATGTGTTTTAATAACGAAAAAAAAAGAGGCGAAAGAAAATATACCTTTACGGGGGATAATCCCCGACAAAGCTGTTGTCCTTTTTAATAAATTTTAGTCTAAATGCAAGACATGCAACTGAGTTTTCATTTCCTTGCAACAGTAACCCTAATTTTTTTATGTTTGAATAAGATCTATGTTTTTTCTATAACTATTGCATATTTCATGAAACTGATGCAGAAGTTACTTAATGTTCTTTTATGTGTTTTACATATGTATTTTAACTTTTTATTTGTGCGAATGTTTTAATGTTGGGCAACAATATTCTTCACAAATCTAACATAAGAAATCACGAACACGCAGATGTTTCGCTGTCTTAGATTTGCAAGTATTTTTAGCTACGTTTGTTTTGCAGTTTTCTGCTTTATTTACATCATATCAAATTAATTTAATGTAAGACATCTGTTTTCGCTACAATGTAAATCTTGAGTGAATTAAAAAGTTATAAATTGTTGTTATTGTTTTCTTTTATTTGTCTATACAGTATACTTACGAAAATGTCATGCCGTTTGCTAAGCCAATAATGAAAAAATACGATTTTTCAAATTTCTTTCCCGAACGATCAAATTTTAAATTTTTGAATCATTTTTAAGATCTTGAACTAAAACTTCATTTGACACTGTAAAGACTTTTAAACTTTCTCAGAAAAGACTAGTAGCTTGCATCTTAAATTATTTATTCACAAGTTAGAGATGCACAAAACAGACATAAAAACGGCACATCACAGAAAAAATTTAACCAAAACATTTATCAAAATACCGCTATCATCATTTTTATAATCTCGACTCCACTCTCTTTGGAAACAAACAGAAACCTAAAAGAAAGTTAGTGTGCCATCTAGTGGCCAGTCTCTTACAGTCTTCCTCCCCTCATGAAAAAACTTTTCTCGAAGGGAAAAGTTTATATTTTTCCTAAGATAAGTTCTTT